TCGTCCATGCCGTAGTCGTCGTACTCGTCTTCGACCGAATTGGTAGAAATGCGCGCCTGCTTCTTCTCCGCCTCCTTTGCCTTGTGTCGCTCCTCGAGCAGCTTCTCTTGCGCAGAATCTGTTTGACCTGATATCTGAAAACTGAACCTGGACGCTCGACTGCTGAAATGCGCAGGTAGCCCGGCTGGCTGAAACGACGGGTCGGAGATGGAGGTGGCTCTTGAGCGTGCGGGCGGTGGTGGCGACTTTGTCGACTTTCTTTTCCGCGGGGTAACATCTGTAGACACGTCCAGCGGGTTCTCCGACTCTTGTACGGGCGACAGGACTGAGGAGCCGCTGTCGAATCCTTGGAATGACGGTCGAGGTAGTGGAGATGTTTGTGGGGGAGGCAATGGGGACGATTGCGGTGGAGGAGGCGGCGGCGGCGAGTTCTTGGGTTGCGGCGGGGGAGGAGCTGAGCGTTCAGGTGGGGGAAACTGTACGGAGTTTCTTGCGAGGAAGTCCTTGTTCACCAGTTGCTCTGCGCGTATAGCAGCTTGCGACTGTTCGTAGCTGGTGTCGTCGTCAAAGTGCTCACGGAACACTGGCGTATGCTCCTTGTCTATCTTCGGCGGGCTGACACGACCAATCTCCTGCTGTCCTTCCGCTCCTTCTGCCGCAGTGTTGTACGAGTAGCCTCTATTCAGTCTCGGCGCATTGAAATCGTGTACGATCTTTCCGCGGATGCTGGGGTCGTAGTTGTCGGGCATGGGGGGAACGTTCGAAGGCGAGCGTTGAGTCACGAGCGATTCGTCGGCGAGAGGATCCAAGGTCTGTCCAGACCTGCGTCGCATAAGGAGTGACATTGGGTTGCGCAAGGTCAGCCTCGATCTTGACTTGCTGGGAGCTGCCGTCGGGGTCGAAGTGCCCTTGGAACTGCCCGTGAGCTTGTCGCTGATGCCACTCAGCAGCGACGTCTGCGACTTGGAGAAGTTGGAATAGCCGGGAGAGATGACAGAGGGCGCCAGGTGGGAGGATGACTGGGGAGGCGTCTCAGACGACGGGGCGGGTTCTGTCCTCTGTGGCAAGGGAGAGCCTCCACTATGTGAGCGCGCAGAGAGGGGCTTGTTCTCATAGGCGGGGGAGAAGTGGTCCTGTGTCCGCTGGGGCGGGGAGAGCAAGCTGCGATCCTGCGCCATCTTACTGCTGCTCCCCCCAGTGCTCCCCGAGTGCTGACTGGCGGTATACTGGGAGCTACCAGGCGAGGCCGCCTTGTCCAGCTTGGAGGCGACGCGTGCAATGGGCGGCAGTTGGGGCGGATAGGGCGATATGGGCGAGCCCGAGGTGTAGCTGGCATTGTCGTTGAAGCGCGGCGAGGAGAAGTGCTCGGTGGTCTGCGACGGCGAGGGCAGTGGAGGTGCGGCGGGACTGGGGCTGGGGACGGGCTCGGGCGAGGCCAGACTCGAGGCATTGCGCTTCGCATGGCCGGGCCTGAGCTTGGAGAACATCGACGTCCCGGACGGCGCCATGGTTGTGTTTCGTGTCGCCGCGCGGCCGCTGTCGCGCTGCGTCTAGCACGCAGAGTCGATGCCGGGCGGCGCTGGTTCGGGCGGTCGTCGTGCCTCTCAGCGAGGCCATGCACCGAAGCGCACCATGACCGGGTGGTGAGAAGCGTGCCGCGGCGTCGTTGGGGCGATGGGCCGCTGGTTGCAAAAGTTGGTGAAGGGTTCCGGCGTGGTACAGCCGCGGAACGCTAGCGGGTGAGGCGCGACGGCGTCAATTGCGGCGTTGCGGTGGTAGAGCAGGGCAGCCAAGTGCCGAGTGTCGTGGCCGTCTCGTGTAGCCAGAGGGAGGGGCGCGTCGCTGTCGTGGTACTGCTCCGTCGTGGCTGGCCGTGAATGCTGATGCGACCTCCTCTCCCAACACCAAGGTTCATGCGACACGCCCGCTAGCAGGGGTCTTCCCGCACCACCACCTCCCCACACCGACAACTGGAACGCTCTTGCAACGGCTTCGCGTAGACTTTCTGAACCCGCGAGCGCTCGGTCCCACACAGATGCTATGCGCTGATCAAGCAAAACGATGCATGAGGTCGCTTCACTGCAGAGTCGATGATTGACAATCGGACGCTGATGACGTTGGAGCTCGTCGATACTACAAACCCCACTATAGGCCTAGACGAGTGATAAGACCATGGCATGACATGTGCTTTTTTATTCAACGTTCATGTGAAGATGCATTAGAGCCGATTCTACCCTCCCAACATCTCACTAAGCAGCCCTCTTGCCGCCCCTCGACATCTTCGGCCTGCCAAACCTCCCAACATTCCGCTTCCTCAGTTCCGACCGCTTCGCTACTTCCTCGCCAGCCGCCCAGGTAGGCTCTGGGTCCGGTCCGTTGAGCGCCGTGTTGTATGTCGCATTGGCCGGCGTCACCTCGAACTGGATCGTGGCATTGCCCTCTCTGTAGTCACTTGTCGGTGTGCCCACAGTCAAGTAATCCGCGTCAAACTTCTCCTTACCAGTCGCGATGTCGACCTGCTTGAGCGCGCGCTCGAAGATCTCAAGCGACGCAAGAGGTTGGTAGAAAGGTACCTCGTGGCCGGACTCGTAGATGCGGAGGAAAGAGAAGAGCCCTGCCTGCTTGACTTGGCCGTGCACGATGCCGTCGCTGGTGGTGATGTTGGTAAATCCAGCCTCGGAGTAGCCAGTCGCGTTGATCATGTCTGCAACGACCTGACCACCGAGCCAGTTGCAGTTGTAGTCGGCGTCGCCGTAGTAGAGCATAACCTGAACGCCAGCATCGAGCAATTTCTGGCAAGCAGCAATGGTGCCAGATGGACGGTCGTCATCACCCGTGTTGCCAAATGCCGCAGAGACCGTGCTGGCACTCGATGAGAAGTTCTGGAACGCGCCAACCGCTTGCTGCACCTCCGGCAGGTTCAGATAATCCCTGAAGTAGTCATAGGGGAACGGGTCAGGCGTCAAGAACCTCATGTCGTACTCATCACGTCCGCTGTAGATGTCGTAGAGGTTTTCGACTTTGGAGTAGCAAAAGTCATCTGCGGTGGCACAGACCGAGTTGATTCCCGTTTCGTAGCACTGCTTGGTACGGTCTACGCAGTTCCCAGGGCCGTAGAGGTTGTTGTACCACTCAGCCTTGACTGTGTCGTTGTACGGGTCGTAGTCGTAGGTGTTGCCAGGGAAGACGGAGTAGTTGTAGTAGGCCTGGTACTGGACAAGTGGATCGAACCACCCGTTACCAATCAGCACGTTCTCGAGCTCGATCTTGTGTGCGCCGCTGATGTTCTTCGCGTTCTGGTCGAGGAAGTAGGCGTTGAAGACGGGTGCATAGTGACCGCCGTAGCTCTCGGTGGTGAAGCTAAAGCCGTTGCGCGAGTACTGGGGGAATGCGCCCATGAATCCTTGTAGTGTCTTCCACATGTTTGGCGCCGCGCTCTCGGTGCTGTTGGCGGTCAGGGTGTGGTCCGGCTTGGAGTATGTTCCGCAAGTTCCATAGTTCTCAGCGTAGTCTGGGCAGGTCGCGTTCGGCAGCTGAACGATCGTGCTGCCGTCGCTGTAGCCGGGGATAGGAATAGAGTACGAGAATCCGACGTCTGTTGGTTGATCGATGAACAGCATGTTGCTTGCATTCGTCCACGAGTACGGGTTGTTGAACGGCTTCATGTCTGGGCCAATACCACATGGTCCCAATTCCTGGAAAAGACCGATCATGGAGCTGGAGCCTGGGCCTCCATTGATCCACTGTTACAATGTCAGTATGATTCCATGATGCTAGGAAGGAGCTCGTGGGATTTGGAGTTGTATCCGAAAGTCATCTCAACTTACCACTGTCAACGGCGCATCAGTCGGGTCCTGATTGCGCGCCTCGAAGAACCACCAAAAGATATGCTGGTCCTCCGCCACATCTGCGTAACCGCTGTAGCTCTTTACACTCGGGTCAAGCTCGCAGATGCCAGCAGGTACCTCCTTGTACCGTACACTGACATTCGCATAGCCCTCTTTAGTAATAAGATCCTTTGGCGCAGGTACGAATTGCGCAAGAGCACCCGCAGCCAACAAAGGCGCGGCGAGAAGCTTTCCTGTCGCGCTCTTCATCGTCGGTTTCGTTGCAAGTCTTCTTGGTGAGGCGACGAACTATTCCTGTCCGACTCGACGTTTGAGTGAGTGGGAAAGAGCGAAGGTAAACAGAGAAAGAGCAGTATGACGAGCACTTTCACTTTTTATTCTGGAAGCTTATGCAGGTCCGACTAGAAAGGCCCGCAGTCGTCGCGATAGCCAACTCTCACCTTCCCATGTAGGCTAAGAAGTTGCTCATCTCGGTCCCGGAGGCCGGGGTCGTGGCTATCCGCGTAGCCTGTTGCTCGTACCAGCGACGTCATGGTGTAGCTCCGTACTTGCGGTTTGCTTTTCGCGACGCGCGATGGGCAAAGGCCTATTCAGAGTATATCTTCTGGATCAGCCATCTCTAGAGCTATACGCGTTCAATGGATTGGTTCCAGGCGACCTACACATACAAAATGCGATACGGCCCATACGGGCGGACAGAGACCATGAATCTGACCGGAGCCTGTTACCTTGTTAATTGAGTGAGACGCTACGAAAAGCTACCCCGCTATTCCGTCCAAGCGCGCATTGGCAAGAGCTTGTGCAAGCTTGCATGGCTTGATAGCGGTCATGGCGATAGTGGCAGACTATCTAATCCTATATGGGCAGGTAGGTAGCACCGATTAACCGAACATCACCGGTCAGCTTCATGTCTTCGGCGCCGCGTCAGAAGTCATTTCGGTGTAATCATTGTATAAGACGGCTGGTAATTCCATGTCAAGGAAAGGAGACATCACGCGATGGGTCGGAGTCGTTGATCAGAACATATCTCATTGGGCTCATGCCATTACAATCGTTGTGTATTCGTATCCGTCACTTCGTATGCAATCGTCAAGTCCTCCAACGCCTCTTACTCCATGTCATGCTGGGATGCAATTCGATGTGGACGCTCATCTACAATACTGTACCGAAGCCGAAGGTCGTCTTGATACTGCGCACGTAGTACTGGTCCCAGTTGGTCTTAGTGGGCTCCTCCTGACCAACTGGTACACCCTTCCACTCGACCCTCATAACCGTCACGGCATCAACATCGTTTTGATCAAACCATATCGACAGTGTCGAGTAGTGTCCCGCAGGCCATTGCGCAAGTCGCCATTTCTGGACGATGTGTGTGGGTTCTTGGAGCTCGGTGAACTCTCCACTGACGTTTCCGCCAAAGAGCTCAAAGGTACCGCCAGGCTTCGCACCTGTGAAGTTCCTCGGGGGTGCCCGTGTAAACGCAGCGATGCGCTGAGGGTCCGTGAAGGTCTGGTACAGGTTCGCCGCGTCGGTGCGGAACTCTGTGCTGTCGGTGATAGTGGTCACATTGACAACAGCACCAGAGCTGCTCTTTTGAGAGCCAGATGCCTCAGTCTGGGAGGTGGATTTGTTCACGCTTGAGCTCGAGTATACCTTTGGGGCCGAGAAGCCGCTACCGGGGTTCGCACCTGGCGCGTGTTGGATATCCTTTCCGTGTTCCGCCATGACCGCTGGCGCAAGCCCTGTGAAACTTGTTCGCAGTTGCGGTAGGATCTTGGATCGTACTAGGTCCTTTACGGGTTGTTTGCTCGCTTCGTCGGAGTAGACGTCTACCTCAAACTGTGACAAGACATTAGTGACTGTGTACACTGGCGGGTGCGAAGAGATAAAGGACGGTGCCAGCGAAGGGAACATACGACATACTCGTCTTCCTCCGTGTCGTGAGCGACTTCCGGGACGGTAATGGTGCCGCTAGCCTCTTCGCCCTCTTTGTTCTTGCCTGCCGACTGAGTCAGCGCGACCAAGAAAGGCAGCTGAGAAAGGACGTACCTGAGTATTCGAGCTTCAGCTTCACGTCGAAGATGGTGATCACTTTGCCTTTGCGTTGGCTCACGTCTACGTCTCCATCCATGCTAACGACCTTGTCGATCTTGGCTGTGACGCCATCCTGCTCAGCCGATATTTGCGTGAGCTCCTTGTCAAGATACTCGCGCGTCCATCCCGACACATCCTTGTTGACCCAATGCCAGTTGTTCGGATTGTGGAGGACCATGGTGATGTTCGGCGGCGCGCTCGATCTCGATTCAATCTCTGTTAAGAAGTTGTTAGCTTCGGCCTCTCATACTATGTAGAAAAACACGTGTAGTGGGATATTGTCAGAGGGCGACTCGTAAGTCTAAGCAGCTGATCCGCATATAAAGAGTACAAGTCTTCTCAGACTGGTGCCAGCTTGTGTCTCATCATTCAAGGATTGGTAAAGGGTGGTGAATACTTACAAATTGTAGCGCTCAAGCTGGAATGGATCTCTACAAGCGACAAATCAAGGCGCAGGTGCAGAATGTTGAAGGAGTCGAGGTGTTCATGCGAATTATGTAGAGGGGAGCTCGAGGCAGAAGTTTCTGGAACTGATACCACAAAGCGCGCTATGCCCGGGCCGACCGAAGCTCCGCTCGCGTTCCTTGGCCCGAGCTCTTTGCAGCAGCGGCAGCAACGTCGATGCATGCTGCTGGTCGCGACGCTTTCACTCACTCCAAGCGTCTTCACGAGAGAATGCACTCAACGGTCGCTAGGTAAACGGTTCGAGTTCGATAAGAAGCTGTCACATTCGACATTGAAGAAACTTTCGGGGCTTCACTAGCGGACAGGATACAAGTATTGGCCGGCAATCTCGAACTCACCCATTGCAACATGGCGTGGGATGTTGCCTAGGTGATCCAATCTCACTTCCTCTAGAATCGGGCCATTGGGATGTTCACCTGGACGACCGCTGAACGGGTGTCTTCACTGCCATCTGCACGCGGCATGTTGATCGCATTGAGTTTGAGACCAGGGTTTAGCGCACGGCCGGGAGAACGCGCTGGGGGTTCGCGCTGTGTTGCCATCGTCTAACGGCGAAGAAATTGATGTCATTTTCATTAGAGGATACCGAGGGTGGAGTATTTGAAACCCCTTAACCCTAAGGTAGAGAAGCGCACCTGCCTTCGTACCGTTTCGTCTCCTGCTAGTACCTGGTGTTGCTTGCAGCTAGAAAGTGCGACCGTGTATCTCGACGCGCAGAACCTTGCGACCACCTCTTCCAGGTTTCCCCTCCACACCGTTGCTTTCTTTTTCGCGGCATTCGCACGTCAGATTCTATAACACACTGGGCGCGTCCCTCACTTCATCGCGACCGTCTTTGCACGCACGCCAAGTACTACGCCGCCTGGGTGCATGCGCGACGCGTCTTATCAGCGACAAATCGCTTTCAACCCCTCCGGACCATCGGCGCGCACATATCATTCCTTCCCTAGCATCGCGAGCGGCACAGCAAAGGAATCTGCTGCTTTTAAAATCACTCGCTTCCGGTATGTATCCTCATGTTCCCTTTCTTCTCTGCCATGCCGAACCGTGCGGGAAGTTTTAAAGTTCTGTCACCTGTCATTAGCCGTGCGCAAGGCTGTGCGCGCGAACGAGCGTGCCATACAGACCATGGAGCATTCCAGCATTGGTGTCACGACAACGTCTGGGACAAATCGACCGGCAAGACATTTGAGACGACAAGACTGGTTCATGCACGATGGAAGCATTGCTCGATCTCTGCAATGGGACCAACAAGTCAAACATCAACGGCAATAAACATGTATTGTCTCAGACAGCGTTTGCTCATCGCATCATGTGCCGCTGCAGCCAAAGCTTTCTCTTACACAGAGATTTACCTATATAGCACATGCAGAGCGTGCGACATCTGTCCTCCCACACACATTGCTAACTCCTCGTTGCAGTAATAGTAGACCTCCACAGTCGCGATCGTAACGCCTTGAACCATCTGAGATGGTGGCGTCCGTTCTCCAACCAAGCACCTCTCGGGCCAACATGGTGAACCCGAAGAAAAGACCAGGTGAGTATCACATCTTAAGGTCCTATCCAGGACCGGCCACTGTGCAGACACTGACCACTACAGCTCCCGAGCAAGCACAGCCAGCCAAGTCAAAGGCAGTACGCCCATCCGCAAAACGGCGGGTAGAACGGAGAATAGCAGGATATCAAGAATATCTTAAGGGTAATACGAAGGACTTTGTTCGTCACGATCCAGCAACGGAAACGTTGCCCGATCTACTCGCCTACGATGATGAATTTATGAAAGCCGAGAGGGCTTGCCTGGAGATTCCACAAGACTTCATCCTAGCTGTTAAGCCAGACAAGGACCCGCAACTAGCCGCAAGTCTCAGACCCAAACTCAACGAGGTGATGGACGAGTACCAAAGCGAACCCGAGCGTGTGGCAGTCGTCGGCAAGACTGGACAGGGGAAGTCGAAATTGATAGATGCTATCTTGGGCATCGATGGGATTGCAAGATCTGTAAGCACGACCTCCCCAAAGCATCACGTCATCTAACTTTTCTAGGGGGCAAGCGGCGTGGCAACAACTCGCATTCCAATTGTATATTCACCACGTCGAGCGCACATACAAACACCCTACGAGGTGAGACTGGAGCTTTCCGGCAAGATCGACTGTCGAGATTCCGTACAACAGCATCTTGCCAATCTTGTCGCGAACCTAAAAAGATGCGTGGAAGGGCCCATAGAGCTTGACGATCAAGGCCAAGACAGTCTACGGGCGCTTCAGAATCTGTTCAGCGACATTCCAGAATTCGCATCGAACGAATCTACTTGGACATTCCTAGGATATGATGTCAATTCGCACAAATTCTCATCAGTAGCGAAGCAAAAGGATGCGTTTGGCCAATGCGTCAAGTGGGCTGAGGACCGGCGCCAGAAGATCGCCAACATGTCCGCACAGGGTATCTACGCTACCAACGTGACGGAGCTGCGGAGAGAGCTCGCGCAATTCAGCGACGATCAAGCCAAGATGGACGACACCAAACTTGGTTTCAACCCCTCTGCGCTCGTAGAGAGGATTGAGGTGTTTGGTGACTTTCGGATTCGCTACTCAATCGGCGACTGCCCCGGACTACAGGACATCAACAAGGCAAGCTTGTGCCCTTCCCAGGTTGACATCGCTCAAGCTAACCGTGTGTTGATAGGACCGTGAAACAAAAGCGAACCGATATCTTCAGGACTGCAAAGTAGTCATAGTCGCTGAAGAAATCACGAGAGCTGGCGATAGCGCGTTTCTTGACCACTTAATTAATGACCGTACTACAAGGAGACCCGATCAACGCATCATCATCGCCTTGACAATGGGAGAGTCCAATCTGAACCCATCGGATCGCAAAGATGCAGATTTCAACCAACATGAGATAGCTGATCTCGACTGGCTAGCCGAACGTAAAGCAGAAACTCGGAGAAAGAAGGACAGCTACGCGCCAACAGACTATGCGCAAAGAGACCACTGCGCCCGCGAGATCGCTTTCATGACTCTCGAAGAGAACGAAATATGTGCCCGAGAACGAGGTCGTCGCATCAGCGACAGGCTGAGGCAAAGATTCGCAAAGCAGAACGAAAATTTGACAGTTATGACGACTTCGGCAAAAGACTACATGGAGCATGTCGAGGGCTACCACCAGTACACCGACGAGCATCTGCCGCTGTCCGTTGAGTCCACCCAAATCCCCAGTCTATGCAGGGAACTCGCCGCTATCGCCAATGAACGGCTGCAGAAAGATCTTCTTCGCTTTTACAGGCGAACACTACCCGAGCTCTTCAGCTATATCGAGCTCGCTTGCAGCACGACTTCCGGGCCGGTGCAGACAGGGCCCAGGTTCAACTTTGAAGAATTCGCATCCAAATTGTTGAAGCCGCTCGAAGTCTTCCTCGATGTTTTCGAAAATGAACTCATCCTTCCGAGGATTGAGAGCATGAGAAACGGAGTCGGCGATTGGAAGAACGAAGGTCACCATAAAATCAACAATGTTTGGCGAAGGTTGCATGGCAACGCCGTACGGTGCTACTTGAACAAGCTAGGCAACCACCGGACAAAGGGACAGCCGAATTGCAGTTGGAACATTACGCTTCTGCGTGCTGTCCAGAAGACGCTCGACCCGCTGTTCAAGGAGCTAATCGCAGAAGCACCCTCCAGGCTGGGTAGCCTTGCATACCAGCTAGAAGGAGTCGTGGACGACTTCCTGGAAGCCCTTCGCGTTGCCGCCGAACAGCTCGACAGCAAGAATTTCGTAGCGAACCTTGACGACAAGAAACCGCAACTCTACAACATGTATGATGTGGTCGGCAAAGACCTCATGATATTCCTTCGGCTGTTCCGAGGACGTCTTACTGAAGACGGCAACGGTGACTTCTTTCCCCAAAAAATGAAACAGGTCTACACTGCCACATTAAAGGCAAAACCGACAGGCAAGTTGACCATGAAAGAGGTGCAGATGCAGACACTGGAAACGCGCATATGCGGAAAGAACAGTCCCTACGACCAAATGGTCGACATGTTTGAAACCGCTTGGAAAGCCAAGAGGATAGCGTTGTTGGAGATTGGCAGACAAGCTATCGCTTTTCACATAGCAGAGATCAAGGCGTCGTACAAGCAACTCTGCACTCCTGAGCCGCAGGATAATTCCATGACGCTGCTGCGCGCTGAGCTGGAGCGCAAGGTTGGCGTAGCGAGGGAACAGTGCAAGGGACCCATTCTGACTTCTCTTCTGGAATGCGGGCTTGATCCGAACTTGAAGAAAGTGAAGAAAGAGAAGAAGGTGAAGAGAGAGAAGAAGGTCGCGAAGGTGGAGAAGTAGGCAAATGGAGTGTGGAAATGGTAGTGAGATCGGGTGTATACCCAGGGTTTGCTTTCATGCGTCCGTTCAGTTCAGGTATGATACCCACGATGGGCGGTAGGCCCGCGAAAATGGAGTCTGGTTTTGTTGTGCGATAGTTTTGCGATGTATGTATGTGTACGTAGGCTTTCGAACACGAGTTCGCCACACTATGGAGATGTTGTCGGATGATTAGACTGTCGCATTTCTCCTGCAGCGAATAACGGAAGCATATCCTCCAGAAGTCTACATTACCTTTGAGACATTGCTAACTCTTGCCTTTGTACCAATGTAGACCGCAGCGCGCATATTCGATTTCTTCTTGCCGGTATGCTTCCTCGAGATGACTAGTATACTCTATCCAATACACATGACATGTAGCCGACTACGTTCGTCTTCGGCGAGGCGACGTAGTGCATACATGATCGCTATGCCGAACATCCAGAACAACGCCTTCAAAGAGAACCGCTATTATAACACGCACAAGATCCCGTACCCTGTTATGCCGCGCCGCTCCACTCACTCGATGCTCGGTCCTATACAAGGTAGACCACAGGTCCAGAAACATCCTGGTTTTGAGAGGTATCACGAGATCACAGCCCTAGGCCTGCATGCCGAGACTGGGAGGGGGTGCCAAGTCAACTACGTTCGTTCCTGGAAGCACCACGGCGACGAGCAGAAGTTGAGGCAGTATGTCGATCTTGACTGGGCTTAGAAGACAGTATATAGCCCTCTCGCTTTGCTGCTGCGTCCTGGTTTTGACTCTGCTGTCTATAAGACGGCTGCTCTACCTTACTGCGGCCTTTAGCAAGACCGATGAGTAGATACACTTCATGAATCCATGACACTTCTCTCCTATTATGACCCTTGGCTCTTGTTCGTGATGATGTAGACACTGTCGATTCGTATGTGCATCTGTCTAGTTGAGTTAATTGCCGTGAAGATGGGCTATTGTGCTGTTTGGTTCGCATGACATAGCGGTACCAAGCTGCCTGGACTCAATAAAATTCATGTGATAGAAGAGGGCTTGGGGCGGACCAAAGCTTCTAGGCCTCGTGACAAGCTCCGTGCGGTCTTAAAGGTCATGGGCGTTGACCGCGGTCAAAAGTCACAATACCTGGCCCTTACGCCAACTGCAAGAGCACCATTGTATCAAAAGGTTATGAAGACAGATTGAGGAACGCAGTACGTTACGGCTAGGCTGCATCGTCGACTATATCTTACACCTATCCAGAGAAGTCGGCTGTGTGCTAGGCGGCCTGGGCGAACAAGACCCACCGGCTGACGCCCATCATCTGTATCCCCAGTTCTTCTACATGCGGCAGAAGCTGCACTCCCTTCAAATCAGCCTTGTGCTCTAGCCTTTGGCGCTCGGTTACTGCGAAGGCGTGCGCCCAATCCGTTCGCGTAATGTCGACAGCTGTGTACGAGAAGCCGTTCCGGGAAGAATTTCTCAGACCTATATGAAGTGTCCCAGGACCCACCAATACCTACTAGAACAAAATTTCTGGCTGCTGTGTATGCGGCAACACCGATTCCATTCGAGGCGATACGAGTCTATCCGGGTACACAAGGGCCAAGCCTGGAGATCCTCACGCATTTTCAAGGCGCTAGAGAAATTTCCACAACACTCTGAAGTCCTACTGGGTCCTCCATTACCTGTTAGAACAAAACTTTGGCATGCGATGTATGCGACAAAACCAGTTTCTCAAAAGGCGATACGAGCTTACCCAGGTATATATCGGCTAAGCCTGGAGGTTCTCACGGATTCCTCGGGCGCTGGGAGAATCCTTGGAAGTCTATGAAGTGCTCCCGGGCCTCTCGAAACCTGTTAGATCAAAATTTCCTAAAGCTATGTATGCGGCAAAGCCAATCACGAATTCCGGATCTGGAGCGTCATGGGTGGAAGTCACCCACACACTGTCGCTCACGGTTGAGGTGCCCGTCTCGCATACGACGACCCCGCTGATCGTCTCGGCATCAGAATCAGCGGGGTTCGGGGCGGCGACGAGCTGGAAGGATGGCCCTGGCTGATGGTGGATGGAAATACCTAGAAATCTATCCCACGACTCAGCCGGCTCGTCGACTGGCTTGACGGCTTGGATACTGAAGAACTGCGGCCTCGTCACTGACATTCCGCCAACAAGCGTAGCGGCCGGCCACGATGTGGCTACACTCGCCAATCACTGGATGCTGGAGAGAAGTAGCTGGAACCCCAAACCCAGGACTATAGCGTGAGCGGGACTTGCGAGGCGTTTGCCTGATATGTACGGAACTGGGCCAGTGTCTTTGAGATGCCGCCGACAAGAGATAGGAGCAATCTAGTCCCTACCAGAACTAAGATAGAAGGAGTATGGGACTGAATCTAGGTAGGTATCGTCGCAAACAAATTCTACGCCGGGCGACTACATCGACGCCGTATATACCTAAAAGGAAGGATTACGATGTATGTAGTTGCCAGGGCTTGCGAACAACAGCACAGAAAGCATCCCTGGTTTGACTCTAAGCGTGCTTTGACGCCAGGTTCGGTAATCTGCATTAACGAGACCTCGAAAGAGGTGTTGCGATGTTGATTGCCGCTGGTACGGGGATGGGAGCAATCCTGTGCGAGCCCGTTGAGCGCTGCGTCGTCTCTCGAGAGAAACATGATGTGTGAGGCAGTTAACCTTTTCATGGATTGTGTTCCTTTATGGGTGCTTCCGAAAAAGAGGGCTTTCAACTCGACACTGATAACATGATAGTGTGACTTCGCTATATCACTGAAGAGGGGCGCAAAAGTGGTTGGAACGAAGGCGCTATACCCGCGAGCCTGCACTGAGTGCCCGGTCCCCAATGTTCTATTCGCACATCTTGTCGCAAAAAGATTCATCCAGACGCCTACATCAGCGCCGCGACAACCCAAAAGGCGGTAATACTAGGATGGTAGCTGCCAGGGCGTGGTCTGCGACAACGCTGAGTCGACACAGTCAGAGTACAGGGCGAGGCGGCTGGCGAGCGTCAGCGAGCCCGCCGCCTCTGCCAGCCTGCCGCGCAGCGGCGCCCCCTACAGAGAAGATTAGCATGGCCCCTGCACTAAGGATGACACGCTCAATCAAAGAGAAGCTACCGTTTTTTTGCTCTGGATCTGGCGCCGGAGTAGATAGGATATCTTGGAGGGATTTGCAATGCGATATCTGTGTTGGCGAAGATAGCAAAATGTGAAGTGCAGAGGAAATGGTGTTTTGATCGTTATTGTGCGGAAAGAAAGGTCGCTAGACCCTTGCGCAGCAAAAAGAGCGCAAAAAGAAGAGCTGGGCTCGACTCGAACCCGGGTCTCCGGGCCCCGATTTGGCGGAGGAGTCAGATCAAAGGGCAAAAAAATGGTAGCTTCTCTTTGATTGAGCGTGTCATCCTTAGTGCAGGGGCCATGCTAATCTTCTCTGTATCGTTTCAAATTGACCAAATGCCCGAAGGCGAAGGTTAGACAAATAAATTGGTATATATCGTGCAGCAGTTAAGGGGACTCGCTGGGGCGTGTGAAAAGCTGGATCTGGGCCGGTGGCGGTCAGGAACACCAAAACTTGGAAGTGGACCACGCTCGTACCATCAAAGCTTTGGAAAGTCATCGGGTGACCTGTGCGTGTCCTGAAGCTGCACAATGGCTATCATAGGCGGGCTTCGCCCGCTACGATAATTGTGACTGCTATTGCGACCATTCGTTGTCGCTATGTCACAACAGCCCAAGCGACACCCAGGATATATTCACCATCTCTTTCTTCTGTCAACACAAGGTATGCAGATTGATGTATACGCCTGGCGGCAACGACTTGTTCCTATGCGGATGCACTTGTCAGCTGCGTAGTTGTCTCGTTGGCAAGATCAGCAGCACATGAATCCAGCGCGTTATAGTCGGACCTGTCGCAAATGCTTCCAGCGATCTTCAATATCGTAGGATTCGATGGTGCTGTTCGCGATGTCCTTTACTAGCTGTTGAACTTGGTTATCAGCTGTCTCCATGATTTCGAAGTACTTAGGGAATGACACCTGAAGGCTATCAGTGCACGACATGCACGGAAAGCAACCTGGTATCTTCATATGAGATGAAAGTCAGTTTCGAGGCGCGCAGTGATGCGACAGTATCACGGAGAGAGAATGCAAGTGTGTGAGAAAGCCAGGCAAGTGGTATTGACTGTGATGTTTACCCCTCCACCCCACTTGCGCTTCGCGAAACTGCGCATTAGGAAGTAGCGCTTCAGTATGGTCGTCACGGTCGCGCCTTCCAAATTTCGACCCAACTACACATCTAAGTTGGAAGCAATGCGCATGCCAGGGATGACTGTGAGCGCTAACACATGTCCTGCAGTTATATAGTGCTCTGCAAAAACAGCCTCATGACATGGTGTATACTTTGAAGCCAGCCTTTCTGTGCAACGCGACCCAGAGGACGAGATCGTTCTAGCATATCAGTATGTATGCGCAGGGCAAATGGTCAATTCGAAACAATACCGCGCAAGTTCACAGGCCCTGTGTCCAGGATGATGCGCACACACAGCATAGTTCAAATGAGAGGAGACAAGGGTATCATTGCTACACACATCTACTCCTCCAACAAGTCCATCACCAACTGCGGAATGACCTGCACACCTTCACCCTGTATCGCACTAATCGGCACAGTCTGCACGTTGCGCCGCCACGCATGCTTGCGGTTGCTAGGATGGGGTTGCGCGCCCTTGCTCACCTCCTCCAGATACGCACGAAGAGCCTCAAAGTTGGCCTGCGTATCCGGCAAATCGGCCTTTGTCGCAACAACGAACCACGGCTTCGACGAGATCGGGGTTGTGCTCAGGAAGGGAAGAGGCTTCGGCGAAGGATCCAGATGCGGCGAGTCGAGGAGGTCGGATGCGTCGCTCGGTGGTGCTTTGCCAGCGGGGGTGTAGGTGACCATCCTGCGCTCTGTCTCGGCGTTGAGTTCCTTTCCGCGTAGTGTCTCGTACTCGGATACT